AAGATTAATTATTTTATTAAAGAATAGGATTACTTCATTATATAAATTTTATAATAATAAATATATTTAGATTAGAATACTCCTACAGAGATAAATAAATCTATAAAGATTTTAGATCTTTTTTTATTTAGTAATAGCGTGGTTTTAATTTATAAAAATTAAACTCTTATTATATGGTAGAAATTAAAAATTAATATTAATTAATATAATATTTTTATTATATATAAGATATATATTACTAAAAAATATTTTATTTTATATTTTTATTTTAATGCTACTAACCTCTTTCTTAATTTAGATAATATATTTAATTATTTAAAAACTATCTTTATTAATTTTAATAAGATTTATAACACCTGTCGCTAGCATTAAGACTTATAAATAAAAATTAGAAATAAATTTTATATTTTTATTTTAATTTTTTATTATCTTACAGTCAAAGCCAGAATTAATAAAAATATCTAGAAGAATAATTTTTATAATAAATTATTTATTAAGTTTTAGGATCCTACTGTGTATAGCTATAATAATAAAAATTTTAAAGAATTTATAAAGTAATATACTAACTCTATAAATATAATTAAAGAATAAATTAAAAAATATATTAAAAATAATTTTATAATAATTAGAAGCTATATTAAGTTTTATATATTTTATCTTTTTTATTATTATTATAAATATTATAAATATTTCCTTTAAACTTCCGACCCAAGCTTCTAGTATAAAGCTAAAAACTAAGAAGATATTATTAAAAGATAAAAATTATTTTTATTATAAAAAGTCTAGTTATAGAAGTAAAGGATATTCTAAGAAAAGAATTATATAAATAAAGATTTTAGAAGCTCCTATAAAGCAACCTAGAATAATAAAAAATAGTATTTAAAAAAGTCTCTATTCTAGATAAATTAGAAATTTAAATAAGTATAATAAATTTATAAGACCTACTAGGAAATAATAGTAATAATTTTATAATTATTATTTTATTTTTTAAAAATAATATTATTATTCCTATTTAGATATTTACTAACTCTAGAATGAATATTTATTTAGTAATAATTACTTAGTTTATTATTAAATTAATCTAATATTTTAAAATTCTAATATTATCTTTAAAGAAAGCAATTTTGATTATAGATTTTAATAGAAAAAGAATTACTAATCTAATTTATATAATCTAATTAAATCTTATAGTTGATGATTATTAATCTCTAAATTATCTTTTTTTTATATTAATATTAAATTATTAAAATAATTAATTAATCTAGCTAACTTAGTTAATAATAGAAAATAAAATTAAAACTATATTTTTAATTAAAATTTTTTTGGAGTATCTTAGAACAGTTCCTGGTGGATTATAAATATTAATAAAATATAATTTAAAAAAACTATAAAATATAACTAAAAAATTAGTAACTGAGATTTTTATAATTATTCATAATTTTTTTATATCTATTAAAACAGCTAATGCGAGACTTTAGTAAAACTAAAATATAATCTAAAAAAATAAATTATTAATTAAATAATTATTTAGAATCTAAGAATATTCTATATTTATTAAATATAAGATTTTTTGTAGTAGCTCTAGATTCGGGGTCCTTAATCTAGATAAATAAATAAATAGAATCTAGATTTTTTTATTTTAGTATAGTCTAGTTTTAATATAGTAGTTATTTATCTTTCTTCTTTAAAAGATTTTTTAATCTTTTAATTAAATTATTAAACTTGGTTCTATAGCGCCCAGGATAATATATAATTTTAAAATTAAAATAAAATAAAAATTCTAATTATTAAGTTTAATAGTAGTTTAGAAATTTAATATAGAATTTTTTAGATTGCAGTAATTAGTAATAACTTAAATTAAAAATAATATTTTTTTAAATTTAAAATATTATTTTTTTAAAGTAATAAATAATTATAAGTAACTTCTTATCATAGATTTTCTAATTATATTTAGTCAGGGAGTGTTTCTTAAAGAAAATAATTATAAAATATAATAATTTATTTTTATATTAAAATAAAATTCTAATAAAAATATAGTCTAAAATATTAATTTTTAATATTATTTTTTAGATTTAATTAAATAACTGAAGTACTAGAACTTCTATAAAAAAATTCTTTATATAATTTAAAATATTGTAGTATATAGGAGTCTAAATAAAAAATTATTCTTTTAATAAATTATATAAAAGAATTACTGTATTTTAAAAAATCATAAATAAAATAATAATAAAAATTATTAAATCTTAAAAAAACTTACACATTTATTATACAGGATAAAATAAATTATTAAATAATAATTTTAATTTTTTTACATTTATACAGAATCTATCACAGTTTATAATTAAATTTAAAAACTTAGTTTTAAAAATAATAAATTTATATTATAAAATTTTAATAAAAAGACTAGTTTTATTGTCACGGTGCAACCCCCCAAGCCAAGAAGAGAGGAATACTACTAAGCCTTACTACCCAGCACGTGATCCTAGACATGGTTAAAAACTACTTGTTCCTTGAATCCTGTCCGTAGCCTTGAGCTATATATTATCTATCACTCTATATATAGCTTGATTAATAGCCAGCTTAATATTTAGTTAGAATCTTAATTATTATTATTACTGAATACCGCTCGCCTGTTAGAATCTATTATCTTACTATCTCTATTTATCTATATTTTAATACTATATAGCTCCTTCCTTAAAATAATAGACTTATAAGATAACTATTATTTTATAATCTTTAATTAATTCTAGCAGGCCAGATAAATTAGTATAATATATTTTTAAATATTCTAGAGAATAATATAACTATTATAAATAAATCTTTATCTTTATTATAAAGGTTGCTGGTAAATAAGACTATTTATAATAAAATCTTAATATATAGAATATAATAATCACGTACTAGGTCTAGTAAACTATAAGATTTAATTATTAACTAGTTAATACTCTAGCTATAAAAAAGATTATTATTAAAAAAAATTAAACTTTAACTAAATATATTAAAACCATGTAGACTATTATACTAGTAATTAATATTTCTATTCTTATTTTAGAATCTATTCTTAAAAAATCTATAATTTCTTTAGTAGAAATAATTACATTAACTAATTTTAAATCTTTTATTTTTATTTTTCTTTCTAAATAACTACTTAATTTTAATAAATTTAAAAATAATTATTCAGACTTGAGCCACTTTATTTTTTAAATTAAAATAAAAATAAATATTAATTATAATTATTATACTACTGCCTCCACTTATAAAGCTCATATAATTAATTAATTAAGTAAAATCTCTTATGCCTAAATCTATCTCTTTATAAAAAATAATAACTATATTTTAAATAATCTTATAAATATTTTAAATATATTTAAACATATCTTTAAAAACTTTAATTATATTTATAATACCTAGTGGGAACTATATTATTTATAATAAAAAATCTATAAATTTACTATATATTTTATTAAATTTAAAAAATTTATTTATAAAGTTTATCTATACTTTAATTCCTTAATAACTATTCTTGAAGATAGTATTAATCAAGAATTTAATACTATATTCTTAAATAATATATTTTTTAGAGAAAGATTACTGCGACCTAACCTAGTTTTTATAAAATTTAAATAATTATTAATTAAGATATAAATCTAATTTCTAGAATTATTTATAGAAGCTAACTAGTATTTAATATATTATATTTATAATTATTAGGAAAGTTCCGTGGAAATTTTCTATAAAAATTTCTAATTAAAAATTAATTACTCTAGACTATAATTTTATAAATTTATTATTTATTTATTATTTTTTTCTATGCTCTAAGACCATCTAAAAAAAAGAAAAAAATATTTCTACTATAATTTTAACTAGTATTTAATCTATAACTATCTTAAATCTAATATTTTAGTTTAATAAATTAATTATATATTTTATTTATTTTTATTAAAACCGATCTAGTTTTTTTCTTATTATTAATTATTATTTACGTGGGCTAAATCGCCAGTAAAGAAATTTTAAATTTATTTAATATAAGATTTTCTATATTAGTCTTATAACTAAAAATAATAATATTATTAGAATAATTATACTTTTTTAACTCTAGTAAATAATTAAAAAAATTATATCTAGTTTAAATTACTGTTAAAAAAGTGCTGCTCTATATATTTATACTCTCTCTATTATTATTATTAAAAAACTTCTTATTAAAGAGAAGCTCTAAAAAATTAATTTAATAATTATATTTATTATATTAAATTCTAATAATTAAAAAATTATTATATACGTAATATTTAATATTAGTTATTTAATATTATATATTATAGATAAAAATTAGATAAAAATTTATTATTTATTTTTATACTCCCTGAAGCACCCCAAATCTATTATAAGATTTAATAATTAAAAAATTAAGTTAAGAATAATCACCCACTACATCTATATAATTTTAAAGATTTATAACTATATAGAAAAAAATATTTTATTTTTAATTATCTAGCTAGTTTACTTTTTAATTATATTTAGCTTATCTTAGTTTAAGGTTTATAACGCGCTAATAAACTTTACTAAATATATTATTTAATTTATTAGCCTATATTACTACTAGTATTATAATATATTTATTTATTTAATTAAAATTTATATTTTATATAACGTCCCAGTATGTATCTATTTAATATATATTATATTTTTCCCACTCTTAAAAGATTGAAATATATAACTAGTCTTTATTATAATTTATATAATATATATATATTAGAATTATTTAATATATACTATCACTATAGATTAAATTAATATTATTTTATAATCTATTTTTAGTACTGGAGATCCTACACTACTAAATAAATTTAAAGATTTTATAGATATTTTCTTATTTAAGGAAGTAGAGAAGTTTCCTTTCTATTATAATTATAATTATATTATTACTCTAGAAAAAAGAAAATATTTTTTATTATTTTTTATATAGCATGTCCTGGGATAAACTATAAACCTTATATAAATAATTATTTAAAAATTTAGAAAAAAATTTTATTTATTTAAGTTTATTACCCACTATCTTACAAGTCATATTCGTTAAAAAATCTAGAGAAGAGTTTAAATTCTATATAAATTACTATATCTTAAACACAATCTCTATTAAAAATTATTATTTATTTCTACTTATAAAAGAAACCCTGAATAATCTAAAAGAAATATACTATTTTATTAAAATTAATATTATTAGCACTTTTAATAATATCTAAATTATTTAAAAAATAAAAATAATTAATAATATTCCATATCTATCTTAGTTTATATGAATTATTAATAATATTTTTTAAATTAATAAAAGTCCTAGTTATTTTTTAATACTATATTAATAATATACTCTGAGACTACCTGGATACTTTTTATATAATATATCTAAATAATATCCTAATTTATAGCTATATTTAAATAAAGTATATAAAATATAGTTAGCTAGTTTTTATAAAATCATATAAGACTAGACTCTTTATTAAAATATTAAAATATAAGTTTATTATTCTTAAGACTAAGTTTCTAGGCCTTATTATAAGCCGCGATAAATTCTATATAAATTTAAAAAAAATTAAAACTATTATTAAATAATTTATTCTAGCCTGTGTAATAAACATGTAAGTTTTTTTAAGATTTTATAATTTTTATTATTACTCTATTTATAATTTCTTAAAACTTATTATTTTTTTTATATAACTTATTAAAAAAAATATTTCCTTTATTTAGACTCCCGTATACTAGGATATTTTAGATTATTTAAAGAAAGTTTTTATAGAAGTTCTAGTACTCTAACTATTTAATTAAACTTAGAAAATAATATTAAAAACTAATATTTTAGATTATATTTCCGCCAGAGTTTTATTTCAATATAATAAAAATAGATTATTATATTCTATGGTCTTCTTCTTTAAAAAATACTCTTTAATTAAATATAATTATAAAATCTATAATAAGGAGCTACTGGTAATTATTTACTATTTTAAAAAATAATACTTTAAATTTAAAGAAATCTTATTTTTAATTTAGATTATTACTAATCACTGTAATTTAAAGTATTTTATATTAATTAAATTTCTGAACTATTATCAAGCCTAATAGTTAGAGTTTCTAACTTATTTTAATTTTAAAATTATATACTATTCTAAATATTATAGGATTAAACTTAATAGCCTGACTAAGAGGTTAGAGGACCTCCTAAAAAAATAAATCATTACTATATTAAAGCTAGACTATACTAAAATAAGAGAATTTAGATTTTATTTATTTATTTACCCAGACTAAGAAGGACCCTAAACCTAGAATAACTAAGAAAGATCCTAAATTTAGTAAATATAGAATATTTCTAGATTTTAAATAACTATTTATCCAGACTAAGGAAGACCCTAAACCCGGAACTATAAAAAAAAAATCTTAGATTTAATAAATATAGAATACTTCTAGACCTTAAACAATCACCTATATAAAAAAAACTTAAGAAAGATTTTTTTAGAAACATCCTAGCCCTAATAATCTAATCTTAAAATAGTATTATTTTTAAAGATGAATAAGACTTGTTACTACTACTAGAAATCTAGAATACTTTATAAGATATATATAAAAAAGATAAACAAATATAAGATATATTAAAGATATTAGTAATTAATAAAGATTATTATCTAAATATCTTTTTATTAAATATATAATTTAATTTACTAGCTTATGTTATTATTAATATTATAATATATTTATTTATTTAATTAAAATCTACATCTTATATGATGTTCTAGTATATATCTATTTAATATATATTATTTTTTTTTATTTTTAAAGGATCGAGATATATAACTAGTCTTTATTATAATTTATATAATTTATATACGCTAGAATTACTTAATATATATTATTATTATAAATTAGATTAATATTATTCTATAATTTATTTTTAGTACTAGAGATTCTATATTACTTAATAAATTTAAAAATTTTATAGATATTTTCTTATTTAAAAAAGCAGAGAAACTCTCCTTCTATTATAATTATAATTATATTATTATTCTAAAAAAGAGGAAGATTCTTTTATTTAATTTTTTATATAATATATTTTGGAATAAAAAATAAATTTTTTGATAAATAATTATTTAAAAATTTAAAAAAAGATTTTATTTACTTAAATTTATTATTTATAATTTTACTAGTTTTATTTATTAAAAAGCCTAGAGGAGGGTTTAGATTTTATATAAATTATTATATTTTAAAAATAATTTTTATTAAAAATTATTACTTATTTTTACTTATAAAAGAAATCCTGAATAGTTTAAAGAAAAAATATACTATTTTATTAAAATTAATATTATTAGTACCTTTAATAATATCTAAATTATTAAAAAATAGGAGTGGCTTATAGTATTTTATATTTATTTTAATTTATATAAATTATTAATAATATTTTTTAAACTAATAGAAATTCTAATTATTTTTAATATTATATTAATATACTCTAAGACTATCTAAATACTTTCTATATAATATGTTTAAATAATATTCTAATCTATAATTATACTTAAATAGAGTATATAAAATATATCTAACTAGTTTTTATATAATTATATAAAGCTAGATTTTTTATTAAAATATTAAAATATAAATTTATTATTTCTAAGACTAAATTTTTAGGCCTAATTATAAATCATAATAAATTTTATATAAATCTAGAAAAGATTAAAATTATTATTAAATATTTATTCTAGTTTACATAATAGATATATAAATTTTTTTAGAATTTAATAAATTTTAACACTATTTATAATTTTCTAAAATTTATTTTTTATATATAATTTATTAAAAAAATATTTCCTTTATCTGGATTCCTGCTTATTAGAATACTTTAAATTATTTAAAAAAGATTTTTATAAAAGTTCTGATATTTTAATTATTTAATTAGATTTAGAAAATAATATTAAAAATTAATATTTAGATTATATTTTTACTAGAATTTTATTTTAATATAATAAAAATAAATTATTATATTTTATAATTTCTTTTAAGAAATACTTCCTAAATATAATTATAAAATCTATAATAAGTTACTCGTGATTATTCATTACTTTAAAAAGTAGTATTCTAAACTTAAAAAAATCTTATCTTTAATTTAAGTTATTGCTAATTATTATGATTTAAAATATTTTATATTAATTAAACTTCTGAACTATTATCAAGCCTAATAATTAAAATTTTTATTTCATTCTAATTTTAAAATTATATATTGTTTTAAATACTATAAAATTAAATCTAATAATTTAACTAAAAAATTAAAACATTTTTTTTAAAAAAAAAAATAATTATTATATTAAAACTAAAAAATACTAAAAGAAAAGAATCTAGATTTTATTTATTTATTTATCTAGATTAAGGAGATCTCTAAATCATAATAATTAAGAATAATTTTAAATTTCATAAATATAGAATATTTTTAGATTCTAAATAATTATTTATCCACATTAAGAACCTTAAATCTAGAATAACTAAAAGAAATTCTAGATTTAATAAATATAGAATATTCCTAGATTCTAAATAATTATTTATATAAAGAATATCTAAGAAAAGCTTTTTTTAGGACTATCCTAGTTTTAATAATCTGATTTTAGAATAGTATTATTTTTAAAAATAAAAGTTATTATTATTATTAGAAATCTAGAACATCCTGCGAAATATATATAAAAAAATAAATAAATATAAAATATATTAAAAATACTACTAATTAATAAAAACTATTATTTAGATATCTTCCAAATTTTTTATAAGAGAAGGAAAAATTTATTATTTTATAAAAACTATTTTTAGATCTCGAACCATGATGAATTAAAAGTTAAATTAAATTCATTAATATATAATAATCTATCTTTAGAATACTCTAGAAGATTTTATATATATATATATATATTTAATTTAAATATATTACTAGTCTAATTTTTACTGTTATATACAATAATAGGTAAAGATTAATTTATTATATCTGTTATTATATTATTTTATTTGAAAAATTAAATAAAATATTTAAAATTTTTATTAATTTTATAAATATATTTGGCTGGATATATCCATAGATTTTAATATATATTTATTTAAAAATTAAAAATACAATATTATACTAGTAATTATTAATAAACTTATTAAATGAAATATTTAATATTTTATAATTCTACTGCTAATACTATTAAAATAATTATAATATATATATAATATATATAAAAACTATATAATCTTTTTTAATTTATAATCTTTAATTAAGATCTTTAGTTTATGGCTGAATTCTAGAAGTCTTTAATTTAATATTTAGATATTATTAATTAATTATTAACTATTTATTATCCTAAAACTAATAGCTAGATAGAACGGGTGAACATTATATTAAAGTAATATTTTTATATCTATATAAATTATGTATAAAATGACTAGAGTATCTAATTTTTTTAATTAAATTTATTTTAAATATTATATATTTTAATATTATTAATATTATATTACCTTTCACTAATTATTATTTCTATCCATAAATAAGATTAAAATTTGTATTTATTTTTAATTAATTTATTATTAAAAATATAGAGTAAATTACTATAAAAATATTTACTATTATAGAATTTATAAAAGCTGAGATAGTTGTAATCTAAACTAAATCTATAAAATAATTTAATAAAAGATACTATTTTAGTTAAAGATTTTAAAAATATTAAAGAGTCTAGCTAGATATTTAATTTATTAAAATCTTATAATTTAATAAGAAACTTAACTAGAATATCCTAAACTCTTATTTAATTGAAAAGATTATTAATTTCTATACCTATTGTTTAAAACTTCTACTAAATATAAGAATATATCTAATATTTAATATAAATTTATTGATCTTTATTAATAATAATCTATTACTAAGTTAATATTAGTTTTTTTTCTTTTATATTTAGGTCAACGGACTCGAAGAGTAAAAGATTAAAGATATATTAAATTTCTTTTAAGATTATTAGGGACGGGGCCGCCCCTAATTAATATATTTTATTAAATAAATAAGATATATTAATTTTATTATTAAATTTATAAAATATCTAAAGAATATTTACTAGATTATTAAGAACTTTTATTATTACTATTTATATAAATCCTAATCTTTACTTTACAAAAGCTTAGCTTAAAGAGAAAGGAAATACTATTATAATATAATTTTTTAAGCTAGAAAAAAAGAAATATTATT